TTTTTCCAACTCGATACATCTTTAGTTGGCGGACCGAGACTATTTAGCTCCTTAGCCACATTCTCCTAAAATTCCATAAATTCTTTCGAAAAAAAATTGTACGAAACTCTACGATTTGACGTTTCGAGTGGATTCTGTGAATGCAACCCTACGAATTTCGAATTTACGTCGTAGCAATTCCAATTGCGTGATAGCTATTTCGGAACATCTCCGAAAATACAGCCTACGATGGGTTCTATGATAGGGCTGATTATGACTCTCATTCGATGAAGAATAGCGCTATTGTGAATTTCGCTCGTCAAGGTTGCTAATAGTGTGCTCCTCTTTTTCTTTTTTATTTAATAATTGATATTTTTTATACATATAACACCGCGCGATAGTAAATTTTAAACACAAATATCAATATATTCGCGAAATCATGGGCTAAATATAGTAAAATTGCGTTTTTAGTTTTGCATGTTTTTATGGGTATAAAATTAATGAAGAAAGCCTCCAGAATTTAAAAATATTCAAGTTTCTGGTGTAGAAGGGCTGGTAAATATTGAAAATGTAATTTTAAAATATTTGTTTTTGGAAAATTACACGTTAAGGGCTTATATAAACTCGATAACATCCTCGAATTTCGTTCTTCTAACTTTGTCAACTTAAAAAATTTAAATTTTTTAAATTCTAAACCAATTTCCTACTGCATTTTTTACATATATTTGTATTCTACATTGCATTGAATTTATTTAATAATTTTTGGAATTAATCATATCTTACAAAGTCCTTCAAAATAAATCCTGCAGTGAGAGAAAAAAAAAATAAAAACGCCACTTTAAATAAAAAAGTAGGTTTTAAACCCATTTATTTATTATTTATTTCATGGTAGGAGAGCTTCTGAAACAACATAGAAGCAATTTTTTTGATTCAAGTTGTTGAAAAGTAATAGATATCTAAATCCCGGGACAAATCCCGGGATTGTGAAACGCCATCGCGAAAATCCCGGAATCGAAAAAAGCCGAAAAATTAACATCCCTAGTGCTTATACATATGCCCTTATGTAAATTTGTGCAAATTAAAATGAAATAAAAAAGAAAGCGAGTTTATAAAAGCGTGGTGTTTAGTAGAAGTAAAAATGTTCTTAGATTAGAGTTTTGTCTCTTACCAAAATTGGATCGCGAGTGAGTAAATTTATTTCAATAGCAATAAGTACATACTCATACATAGGATGAGGTGAAAATTACAGATAATGAAAACAAAGCTGCCAGATTATAAAAATATCAAAACAATTGCAAATTATAAACTATATTATGACTCAACATTTTGCCCCCATTGCAAGGAACTTTCAATTATTGGATGGTAAGGGAGCCAATTTATGTATTGCTCGAGGCAGAATTCCCTTTGACGTTGTCACATCCGCTACGCGTACCTTTCCGCCAGCGCCAGGTACAGTGGTGACTACACGGACTAATAACCACTTGTGCAGTGGCATATTATCTTCATGTATGATAACGAGTTGTCCAAGTGCATATTGCTATGCGGCGTTGGAACGTTGCTGTAATTCGTGAATGTAATCACGCTGCCTCTGTTGCCAAAATTGTTGTTTCAGACTCGTTATACGCTGCCATCTTGACAAGTGAGACAATTTATTGACGTCGGGTGCAACTTCTGGTATTGACTGCATTGAAGTTCCAATAAGAAGGTGAGATGGCGTAAGGACTTCTCCGTCATTTGGGTCATCGGACATGACTGACAATGGACGTGAGTTGAGAATTCCTTCTGCCTCGGTGACAACAGTTAAGAGCTCTTCATATGTTAAGCGTGCCTACAACAAATGCTCACGAACAACTGCTTGGCAGATTTTACTGCCGCCTCCCAAGGCCGCCGAAGTGAGGAGTTCGAGGTGAAATGAACTGGAAATCGATGCCCTTGATTGAAGAATATTCTAAAATCTGCTTCCTTTTACATTCGCTTAAAAACTGCTCGTAGAAATCTTTTAATTTGTTATTGGGTCCTATAAAATTGGTAGCATAGACGCAATAAATAGTCTTTGGTATACCTCGCCGGCTGACAAACCTCTTAACGCAGCCAATGAAGCCTTCACTGCTAATGTCAGAAACTAACTCCATGTGCACTGCTTTGTTTTAAACGGTACCTTGCTTCTGATACGATAGGAGGTGGCGAATGGGTCACATACATCAACTCAGCAGATTAAAAACGGTAGTTGTGCTTTCAAGCGGTCGGCAGGCAGGTTTGCAATAATTTGTTGCGACAACTTAGGCCGGTATTTAAAACAATGGATGCATCTTCGCACTACTTTGCGTACAACTTCACGAGCATTCACGATCCAAATGCGTTGTCGTAGTAACCCCAATAAGACCTTTGGGCCTGCGTGAAGGTGTGAATAGTGCAGATGTTGGATGTACAGCAATGTAAAGATCCTTAGGTAATATGCGGGGAAATTTCGCTTCCACCGGAATCAGAGCACGCAATAGTCGGCCCCCCGCTCTGACTACCACCTTGAGTTTGTTGTAGATTTGCAGCTCACCTAAGAACGGCGACAGTTTTTGCAGCGATGGATTTAGGGATTTGTCTTGTTTAAGAGCAACAATTTCCGAGGGGAAACATTCATGTTGTATGGCTGCAACTACAAAATTAAAGGCGTGGTTGAGTTCGGCTCAGGAACTTGGTTTAACGTCATTCACCGACAAATGCCTATTGGTTGGAATGTTGAATACACGATGAATATATGAAGGACTCGTGTAA